ACCAAAAGAAGTACTAAAACATATTAAACTGAAACAAACAATTCACACAAGATTGATTAAAACAGATCAAAAGAAAATAGGCTAATAAGCAAACTATTGGATTCTCAAATCAACAACGACTGTTAACTACACTAAGCAGAGGCAGAAATGCTAATCACTATGTTAAACTACACTAATCCAACTAAACGACTGAACAGGCAGCAAATTAAAACCTAAAATCTGTATTGATCCAAATAGCCCTAAACGAACACAGATCACACTTCACGAAAATAATTTCAGAGCAAATTTAAGATCCTAGCTTAACATAATGCAAGACGAAGAAGAAGGAAATGGATAGAACGCGAAGAACTTACCAATTCGACCTCGAACCCGGACCTTTGAACTCGGATTTGATACCCGCTCAATTGACTTCCGATACAGCTTCTAGATAATATTATGTGCTCATTTTTGACAAAACAAACGTGTAACATTATCTGGAACCATATGAGAGCAAATGTGGTTGAAACCCTAGATCCAAGACATGAAGGTTTGAAGGCGGATTTGAAGGATTTTGGGTTGGAATTTGGGTAAAGGAGGTCGGGGAGATTGTATGATATTAATTTGGGCGAGTTTGGACGAGTTAGGTTTTTCACCGGATTTGTGATCTAAAATTCGAGAGGCTGGGTTGGGATTTGAGCGAAACTAGTGGTAGATATAGGAAGAGGAGGAAGAGAAGAGCCTGGGGTGTGTTTTTGGGGTAATTTGGAGCACCGCCGCCAGCGACGGCGATTTCCGGCCGGCGGCGTTAGGGCGGAGGGCGGCGGAGACGTGGTGGGTATGGCGGCGTTACAGGGGAGAGGGTGAGGATACGAGGAAGATGGTATATGTTTTTTAGGGTTTGGGATTTTCCAGACAATTTTATTAAAAACTAGCATCCAACGTGGGCCGTTGGATGGGGAGTGATGGACGGCCAGGATTGTGACCACGAAACGACGTCGTTTTAGTGGTGCAAGGGGCAGACCGGGTTTGGGGGATTGGGTTATGGACTGGGGTGGGTTTTAATTGGTTTGGGCTTGTATTATTTGGGATTGGCCCAAAAATTGGGGGTCATCTATTAAAGACTTTCTTTCTTGTAATTTTCTACTTGCTTTTCTTTTTTTCTTTTTTTTCTTTTTTTTTCTCGAATTATTCCCAATTTTCTAATTTCTTTCAATTAAAATCTAAACTTACATCTTAGAACCTAAAAAACCTTGTCAAAAACTAATTAAACCTAAATATCACCATTAACTAAAGGACAACTACTTGAAAAAGAATAAACTATTTATGATTTTTCCTTTTTTATAAAGCAATTGATTTTTCAATTAATCTTAAAATGCAAAGTTAAATCCCAAATGCAAAATGCAAGATATTTTTGATATTTTCATTTGCACAAACAAAAGCAAACAATTACCACAAAATGTCACAAAATTGTAAAAATAATGAAAGAAATCATTTTGTTTGAATTTCTGGGAGTAATTCATATAGGGCAAAAATCACGTGCTCACAGATCTATCTCAACTTTCTCTACAAACTCTGCCTGTCTTTGATGGTATGTAACCCATAGATTGCTGTAAAACCAATTGTAAACGACTTTGAGACTGCTCTGAGCTGACCATGTATTAGCTGCTCATCAATTTCAGTTGGATCAAATACATAGATTCTAGGATCCCAAATCACCCAAATTCTACTTTTGTTCATTGTACTAAAGTTAGTTATCCATTGCCATCCAGGTGCAATCTTCTTCATTACATCACTAGTTTTCTGTTCCTTTATTCTGTGCTCAACTAGAGCTATTACTGCTTTTTTATTTACTTTTATAAACTCCTTTATCTCCTTTTGCTTATAAGTTTTATTCAATCCTCTAACATTCCATGTGATCACACTCATACCGATATGAAATGAGTACCTTGATATAACTCCTGCACCCCTACACTCCTCATCTGCATACAGCTTGTGCCTGGGTCACTATTTACTTGATCATTTCTCAGAGGTTGGAATCCATTGTTTCCAACCAAGTTCTGCTCCTCATTTTGTTTAGCTTTGGCTGCCCTTGCTGCTGATTTACCAATCGCTGTTATCCATCCATCTTCTTTTCCTTGTTTCTCATTGTCCTTTGTTTTTACCCCTTGTTCTGATGTTTGGACTGCTTCATTCTTCTTACTTTGTTCAACCTCCTACTTTTTATCATTTGAGCCATCTCTATCAGTTCTGAGCCAGACTTGTTTGCCTTTATTCTCCTTCCTCTGATATATCATTCTCTATGGTTGTGGCGCTTTGACTTCATTACAATCATGGTCTATTTTCATGCATTTAGCACAAAATGCTGGCTCCCAATCATATGTAATTTCCTGCAGTATTGTTTTGCCCTTTGGATCTTGCAGCTTCACAGTTCTAGGCGATGGTTTAGTGACACCCATTTCAATTAGCATTCTTGCATAAGAGATTCTAATTGATCCAGTAGTGCACTCATCAGCATAGACAGGGTTTCCCAAAGCACTACCTATCTTGCTTAGGGCCTTCATACTCCAACAATTGAGCGGCAAATTAGGAAATCTGACCCACAGGGGAATGGTTTTCAGTACTTCATCATGCAAATTGAAATCTGCTGACCTTGCTTTCATAATTATAGGACGATTGTTCACTGTGTGAGGGCCAGAATATAGTACTTAATCTCTTTCTTTCAAATTACTAAACCTTATCACAAAATAATCATCATTATGATAGTAGATTTATGGCTTCACTGAAAACTTACCCACTGAGCTCAGGAATCTTTCCATTGCTCCAATGGTAGGTGAATCTCCTATCACATAAAGAACAATCGCAGAACTCCACTTGTCATTTCCCTGTTCTACATCTTCGAGGTCTAATTTCACAATCTTCTCACCATTTTGAATTACCGGTGCAATAAATTGCAGATTCATACCTTTCATCGCTAATTTGTTACCCCCTACCACATTTGCCCATGTTTGAGTCTTGCTATCTTTTCCTAATTCAGCAATTTTACTGTTCTCAACAGTACCTGAGTTGCATGGTACTGTTCCATTGTTGCTCGGAGTCTTCGTTTGTACTTGAGCTATCCCGCTTCCAGATCCACCTCCTATAGTTTGTGCAGCTACTGGTGTAACCTCTACAGCTTTTATTTTGCCATTTCTGCAAGCTAGATCTGTTTCCTCCTTGCCCTGTTCGCTTTGCATGCTTCTTGGAGTGACTGTTTTATTTGGTTCTTCAATTCTCACTCCTTTTGGTGAAACAAACAATTCTAAAACAGCATTTCTTGCTTCTGTTGATCGTTGATCTGTAATCGGAACCTTCATAAGGTTCTTCTTAGGTCTGCCTCTCCCTCCCATGGCTTCCAAAGCGCACGTTAGTTAGGCCACTTAACGTGCGCCGAGAGAAAACGTTAGAGAGATAAAAAGATTAATATGGTATATATGTCACATAATTCTTTTTAACTAAAAAAAATAATGTAGAGCTTATTTGGCATAATTGTAACAAATTGAAAATAATCACAAATATCAAGTGTCGAATTTATTTTTGTTTATATGCATTTACGTGTTAAATGAAAGTAATAAAATTAATAATAAACATTTGGTATATACTTGATAAAGAAATGCCGATAAGAACTTTCACTCTTGAAATTGTTGAAATGCTCTTCAAATAAGACTGAACCCCCAACTTCATCTTGATCTCATATATATATATATATATATATATATATATATATATATATATATATATGAGATCAAGATGAAGTTGGGGGTTCAGTCTTAAGAAGATTAAAAAGGTATTAGGAATAATATAAACAAATTGACCAAAATGAAAGCAATTATAAAATGAAAATCATAAATTTTAATTTATCCCCGTTTGTCCATAAAAAGAATTCCTCTTTGTTTTTTTTTTTCCTACAAAAAATATGTTTGTCCATTGAAATTTGCAAGTTTTTGAAAAAAATTCGAAAATGAGTTTTTCAAAAAAAAAATCAAAAAACTTTTTTCCTTACTTACAAAATTACTTACATTATTTCAAGTGAATGTATGTCCAAACACAATTTCAAATTTCAAATATTATTTTTCAACTTAATTTCGAATACCATTTTTTTTTAAAAAAATATAATAATTTTTATGTCCAGACGCCTACTATAACTGATGGTTAAGTTTTACTTACACATAAGTATATCAGTATTTTTACTAAATGCATATATAAGTAAAAAAACTTTAATAGAAATATAGAATGATCAAATAAAATTTTAAGTTTAACCAAACACTCAATTAAATACAACCCAATTTAGACCGAGAAATTTACTTTTTCTTCTCTGCCGTTTTGACAATTTTAACGCTCGAGGAAAGCACAGAAATGGAGGGAAGTGTCAATCAATAAGATAAGTATTAGCCCGCCAATAGTACAGCCAAACCCACCAATCCCACTTGCCGATACAACAGCTTTCCTTCTCTCTTCCTTTAACGTCACATACAAACAAACACACTTTCTACATAGAAAATAAATATAGAGAAAAGGCATCAACCCATTTGCTGCTTCACAGCTCACCCCTTTTAATAAAGAATAAACAATCCTACTAATTACTACAATTAATCTAAAAAATAATACTAATAATTATTTTTAGTTTCTAACTCGATATTGGGTACAGTCAGAGATCTCGATAACAACATACATCTATAACATCTATTCACTATAAATCCAACCTTTTTTCGGAACCGATTTTTATGTTATGCTATAATATATGTCTTATATAATAATACTTCTCTAAACAAACGAACTTGTTACAGAGAGATTTGACTATACTTGCATTAGAATCCTAACTAATCAAATATTCTTGTCACATAAGACTCATTAAAGAAAATCTCTATTCCTGGGATTCAAACCCAGTTGGTATCACCACAATAGTAGATTATAAATTAAATTTTAATTAATGAATAAACAAAGACTAAAACAAAAGCCAAAAAGAAGAATCAAAATCATTATTCCAAAAAAATCCTTCACATTGTTCTCCCCCTTCCCATCACCCACCCACCCACTCCCCTCATTTGCTATTCTCTGTCTGGTTCCGAAGAAGACTCGTAAACATCATCTAAAATCTCAAAAATCAGATCTACTATAATGCTTCTCAATACGTCGCCGTTTTATTCAAATCCTCCATCATCATCCATAGATCTGCTGATGTAATTCCGCTATATCATTTTCCAAATTTTCTCTAATTTTCCTCGGTAATTTTTTTCGCATGGATTTGGACGAATTCCGATTGATTTTATCGGAATCGAAGGTAGATGTGTGGACGATGATCGACGCGGCGATTTCGGTTGCATCGGTTGACTGCGGCGATGAATTGAAACATCGCCGTGACGGAATCGTCGAGAAGCTGTATTCTACGCGCTGCCGGAGCTGTAACGACGTCGTTAACGGTCAGTACAGCTTAGATAATGGCCAGACAGTTACTAGAAATGTGGAGACGGTGATGAATAAGAGTCCGTTAACGCCGGAGTCAAATCATCGGAACAACAATACCAGTAATGATAATAAGAATGATGACGAGGAAGAAGATGTAGATCCATATGGAGGATTATTTGATGATGATGAACAAACTCGAATTCTAACTATCAAAGAACAACTTGAAGATCCACAACTGGTATAGCTTACAGTAATTCTTTTTTATTTTTTTCTCATGAGTAATTTATTAATTTAACTTATTATTAATCAGTCGGATGAGGATGTGATTGACTTGCTTCAAAGTCTGGCAGATATGGATATTACATTCCAAGCTCTCAAGGTGAGGTTTTTTGATTTTTCTTTAAACTATTTGTTTACTTTTGCTTTTAGTCGTTGTTTGTTACATTGAAGGTATTGTTTGGAATGAAATTTTGGTTAGGAAACTGATATTGGAAGGCATGTGAATCGACTGAGGAAGCATCCATCAAATGAAGTTAGGAGATTGGTGAAGATGCTTGTGAGGTTTGAATTTCATGAATTTTGTTGTATGAATTTTTTTGGATTCTGGTAGTTGAAGAGTAGTTACAGCTGCAAGCTTTTGTGATCCCGTTTCTTTTCATTATTGTGAGATTCTTGCGTTTGATTTGATTTTTTGCTTTGTTGTCTATGGCAGAAAATGGAAAGAAACTGTTGATGATTGGGTTAGGCTAAACCAGCCTGAACAACATGGGTCTTCAAATCTTATTGGTAATATCATCCACAAAAAGACAGATTTAGTTTCTCCTTTGTGTTTTTTCTTTCACTAAAAGGAACACAATAGATAGATGATGAAGGTACTGATGAATTAGTTTGTTAATGGTAATGGGGGCAGCTGCTGATGGAGACTCGCCCCAACAAAATGTACCGAAAAATCATCTGAATGGTCATCATCAGGTAAGTTTAAGGAATTCACTGATGTCCAGTCTGCTTTTTCAGTTGTACGAGCAAAGAAAGAGTGTAAGATTGGAGGACCATTTGTTGCAGATTCTAAGTTTGGCAGTTTGAATTTATTTCTTTTTTAATGATTTTTTACAGGTTCCTGACTTCACATACTCACCGAATCCTCGAAGTAAGTATCATAATGGAATCTGATTCTAACTTGTCAATATGGTCTTTTGCTTAAAAAGTTGCATTTGATATGCATTTCATCAGCTTTGACCAATCGTTTTCTTTTTAGATGGGAGTTCGAGTTCGGACAGGAATAATTCCGAATCAGAGTACAAGCCAAAACCTGTTCCCCCGCGGAATGTAACCCCAACTAGACCACTGCAGTCTGCTCCTAAACCTACTTCTGCTCCTCCCCCAAGTGTATTATGCTCAACTCTTTTACTCTTTTATGGTTTACTACAACTGTGTCTCTTGATAAATTATGCGGAATTAGTGCTAGTTAAGTATGTCGATTAATGATGAGATGAATGGATTGCGTCCCGCTCCTATGTTAGAATATAGTGCATGCTTCTTTAACCTTGAAGCTCTTTCAGTATTTGACTAAGGATAAGTTGGTGTAGTTAGCTCAACTACTTAACATATAATAATGGTAGTAGGTCCAATTTGTCTACTGTTGACTACTGTCACATCATTCAAGTTCACTTGCATCTTTTTTCACATCATATATGGTGTTTAACTTGTACTTATTTGCTACAGCATCTATTGCTTGATGACCAACTGGTGTGATCGGAATATAACTAACTCGGTCTCTGTTACTGGGTGATTTGGTTGTATCTGGGGGAGCTAACTATTAACTTCCCCTACTTGACTAATATAGAAATGCAATGCAGCCATATTGGTTATTGCTGGTGAGGTGCAAGACAGCATAACAAACAGTACATGTTTGCTGTAAAGTTCCAGATTAAGATAATTTTAAAGAGTAACAGCAGGCTGTCGTGTTTTATGTTGGAAACGGTCTCTGTTCTGAGGGAACACCCAACATATGATTGTGTTTAACTTGGTGTTTGCAGAGACCTCCTCCAAGGGAATCAGCCATAGATCTTGAAAAGCTAAATTCAGCAAGAAGGCGGCTTCAGGAGAATTACCAAGAAGCTCAAAATGGTCTGGTTTTGGATTTTAGAATATATTGCTGTATTATTAGCAGTAGCAATACTACTACAATTCCTTTTATGGTTTGTTGCTCTTTTTGGATTATTGACTGGGCTTTGTTTGTTGGTGTATTGTTTTGCTTTGTGAAGCTAAAAAGCAAAGGACAATACAGGTGATGGATATTCATGAGATTCCAAAACCAAAGAACGGCTTCTTTGCCAAGAATAAAGGCGGCTTTCAGGGCAGGCATCATCGCTGATTTTGTCAGAAGCCCGTTTGTGTGTACAATAATATACTTCTCTATTGTTTGCACGCATCTGGTCTTAAAAGTAAAAACTCAGCATTTGTGATTACGGGATTTTACCCAACGGTTCATCCCTGTTACTACTTTTTTCTTTCCAATCGAAAACCATAAGCGTTTTATTTAGTACTTCTTTCTACTTTTTGGTAAATATTCAGAAGCATTTGTTGGATGTCGACATTTTGGAAACACGGATAATTTCTTTTGCATTTCCCAGAAGAAAAAAAGGCACGTGGAATTTTAAAAACTTACTCAAGTTTGGTTTTGAAAATTATGGGGCTTTTTGTTTGCAGATTCTGCATCAAAAGAAATGGAAAAGAATGAAAAGCAAACCCGGGTTTCCTCCTTTTTGAAAAAATAGTGATAATAATTGTTTCACTTAACTCCGGTATTCCTTTGTGGCGGAGTGCAGATAAAATTGTCTAGCATAGTTACCCGTTGTTGGAAGGGAGGGAATTTTTAACATGAATGGAAATAATATAGCTTTTCTTTAACCTGTTTGGGTTAGGGTGGGAAAGGGACTGTGCCATTCACGGGGAAATACTTCGGGCGTAAGGATAGACCATTTTTCTTCCCCATTAATTGTCTTTCTCTTTGTTTCCTCACTTTTCAAAATAGAGGTTTAGTGAGTACTGTACTTCCTTTGTTCAAAAGTGGTAGCCACTTCTTAGTTTTTGAAGGAAAGCAACAGAACACTCTCTTCATCTCAATTTGTCTAGTATAAAAAAGAGAAGATTTTTATATACAAGCTAAATATGTTAAATGCAAAATAACCTTGTGTTAGTGTTTCTAAGATAAAACCTACATTTTATTATAAAAAATGACAATTTTAATTCAATTTAGCTAATTAAGTTAGTCCTATTACTCCTTGTTTAAAGAACATCAAGTTGGAGATTAGATCATAGGAAAGCAAGTAAAATGGTCCATGCCACAATGGAATAAGTGGACCCCACACAGCAGCCCAAAAGTTGCTGCCTCTCCTTTCTTACTCGGCCCATTTTTTAAAGCTTTGGACCTAATTTTCCCAACATGAAATGAAGAATGGGCTTATGCACTTGAACTCCAACTTGCCTATGGCTTCTGGATCCAGATATGCCCTCCCCTTCTCCATTTTGGATATGATTGACGATTTAAGCTAGCGTTATAATGTAGCTCTCAAACTCTGAGCAGTGAGTATAAAGTGGATATATTCAGTGAGCTAGTGCTTTCAATATTCGAAGTTGATGTTGAAGAATTATCCATTATTCATCATATTTCTGTTGCAGAAATTTATTTATTTTTCCTTAAGCACTAGTATTTGTTAGCTCCGCATTTGTGTCTATTCTTTTACTTGATTAACATGGATTGTTATCGCTGACCAGAAAATCGTCAATGCTACAGACCGATTGTTTGTCGCAATGAATTTGCGAGAAAAATTTTGATCTCTTCCATGAGGTTCCTGATTATAATTCGATATGCTTTGTTTGCTTTCACGGATTTGACAATACCGAAAGTGTGCTTATATACCAAATATTTACAAGTCATAAGTTAGTCATTATAACTCATACGTCCATCAAAAAGTTGCAACAATTGTTTTATCTAATCTCTCTAACAAACCATAGTGCTAATTCAGGCGAGATTTTATGTTGAAATTATTTTTTCAATTCCTCCAACCAAACAACTCCTTAAAGGTGTTGTGTTGGTAACATAAGAATCAAATATGTGAATCCAATAGTAATATCACCTTTTGTAGATCCACTAAACATAGTACATAGGAGTAGATAAAGAATAGTAACTTCTCCCCACTAAAATTCTCCGATATACTAGCCTACTATAATCATAGATCAGTAGCAATATGTTGCACAATGCGTGTGCTACTTGATAAACACCTATCCTAGAAGTTGATGTAAAGAAGCCACAGACAGGATGCTCTTCTCAACCATCAGACTACACCCTCGACTCAGTCGACCTCTCCCCTGACTTCTTTAAGCTACCCAATATACCATCAATCAACTTATCCTTAGTATCCCCAGGTTGCTCAGTTACAAATGAATGTATCTTCTGCCTCCTCCCAGAGGAAGAATTTTCCATTTTGTAAGCTGATACTGAAGTATGTGATTTTGAACCATCGGTTGAAGATTCTACCACGCCATCAACACTTGCTGACCCATCCGTTCTACCGTACCATGAATCAAGAATCTGTAACAATGAGCTATCTTCCTCCTTCACTTTCGACTTCCCATTTTCTGATTTAGCGGAACATGAGTTCTCTTCATCTGAATCAGAGAAATCAAGATCCAATGGGGCTTCATAGTTTCCATGTATTTGTTCACTTGATCCATCTTTGGCTTTTCCATCAGACCCCAGTTTTATTTCATTCTTGGAACGGCCTGCCTTAGACACTGGACCCAGTTCCTCCCAAGTAGAATCAAACTCATTATCTTTCCCAGGCAAACTCGATGATTCACTATCTAAATTGCCTTCTGTACCACTGAAATCACTTTCTTGATCAGATGGCTCATCTGTTTTTAGACCTAGACTTTTCGGGACTTTAGTTGTGGGAAGAATGTAAGTAGACTCTATTTTTATCCCAGGCATTATCTGAAGGAGATTAGCTAACTTTGTGTAGCCAAGCTTATTTACATCCAGTGAATATCCATACCTTTCAAGAAACAGATACCGGAAAGATCCCATGTTGTATCCTTCCGGATATTGCTTTACAATGTCATCCACCAGCTTCTGACAGTCCATAAGCACCTCATTTCTGGACTTACCAAAACAAGTGCCCTGACCAACAGGCCGAGAAACTCCCGTGTGAGGGGGATTTTGGTGTCTTTTCTCGCCATCAAGTTTTTCTGAGCTTTGCAAGTTAGATGTATCCCTCGTATGCCTAAACATAGAACTCAACCCATTGGAAGTGGAAGAATAACTGTTCAATGAAGCTTTGACAGCAGGCTGATAGAGTTTGTAAGGGAAAGTTCGGGAGAGACATTCCTCCACCCATTTCTTATCTGAGATTAACAAGTCCACCAGCCGAAGAGCATCACCTTCACTAAGAGAATTCAGAGATGAAGGACCTTCTTGTTGGAGATTCTGTGCCATCTGGGCCCTGAAGAAAACCATAGTAGCACAAGATCAGAAGCCATTACAGATAAAGATATAATGTGCGTCAGATTCAGAGAAATGTAGCTTGAGTTCAAGCATAAAAAGAAGTACAAGCTCAAGTAAACCACTTTCTGGGTGGATAGGTGGTAAAACATTCGAAAAACTCAAGCATTAAGGCGGTACTTGTACTAAACATCCTGAATAGAACACTCAACTTCAAATCCAGACACAAGAAAGTGGGTAGAATACTTGGCACTGTATACTAGGTATTACCAACCTGAACAGCTCGACATATGTAAAACCTGACATCACAAATAAATACATGGGGAAAAAAGTTCCAAGAGGTGATTTTGCGAAACTTTTTTTGCGTTACATTTAGTATAGCTAATCCAATGTCGGCTTTCCAACATATAGCTCTACATTTCTCAAGCAAAATCAGCATAACAAACACACAGTTCTGTTTCCGGTATAAAACTCTGTATTACTAATACTGGTTATTCACTCAAGAATCTATGCATTTGTTTGCTGAATTAGATGTGAAATAAGAATACATGTATTAGCAAATCTCTGTATAAGAGTACCTAAAGACATAATTACCAGTAAAGTAGGCCATTCTTGTATGAACACCCCTGTATTATTGTTATTAGCTGCGTAATAATTCCTATAGTTGTGGGTGAAAATTCTGAGCCAAAATGTAGTTCACGAAAGGTCCTACTATTGGAAGTAAAAAATGTAGTTGTTCTGTAGGGCTAGATTGTGAGGGGTACAAAGTTAAGGTGAAATCACATGAAGAAAAGATAGTAGTTGGGGTGTTCAAAGAGAATATTGCTTAAGCTGCAATGTAATAAACTTGAATTAACAAGTTAAAAGAAAATGAGAGGAGTCAAATGTGTTGTGATTCATGGATGTCTCGTTTTGTGTTTAAAGAAACTATTTAACTGTGTTGTCTCGTTTTATGGTTACAGAAACTATTTATACCTATAGGACCAACCACTGTATTCCTAAAATATTTCCTTGCCATGCTCTGGAGGATTATCTAAAATCCTGGCACATTCCTTCTCCAAAAAAAAAAAAAAAAAAAACCCGTCACATTTAAGGTCGGTGTGCTCAGCAGCGCATTACTCTTCTACCACATCAGCAAATCGCTTCAATCTCATCGATTTGACGTTCGCCTCTCCATGCTCCCAAAAGAGTCAGTTACATGCCTGACTCCTCAAGTGGTCAAACGGTTCTTACAAGTTACATCTATCTCAAACGCAGTAATTTCTCCTCTTATCCAGGGGGAATGGGCTTGGCCTTTTCAGGCTGGGGTTGAATTTATGTATGGTACACATCCTAATATGCGGCCATGCAGGATTCTTTTGCTTTAGTCCATGTGCAAAAGAGGAGACTTGATTCGACGGGCAAGATCCAACCAAGTAACTATAAAAAATTTGGCAAATCCAAAATTGATCTGTGTTTGGGCCCATGGCGCGGGCCAAGATCCAACCAAGTAGCTGCAACAAATTTGGCAAATCCAAAATTGATCAGTGTTTGAGCCCATCCCAGGATCTTGAAGTATTGTTAATTGAACGAACTCTCTCTATATTTCTTAGCCTCCACATTTTCACCAGGTAAAGAAGAAGAAAGGCAAATTGAAACAAACAAATTAACCAGATGATCATTCATTACCAAAGGAAAAACAAGCTCCTCATTTTTACTAGACAAATGGAAAAAACAAATTGAAAACTAAAAGTTAACCAAATAATTATCCATACCAAAGGGGGGAAAATATATGTTGAAGAATGTAACCAAGACATCCAGCATGGGAGAAAAAGGAATTGCAGCTTCCAAAGAACTTCAAATATTTTAACTCAAAATTCTCAATTGCACCCAAGGGTGTGGCATAGTGGTTAATGAAGTGGGTTGAGAACCATGAGGTTTCAGATTCAAAAACTTAGTGAAGGCAAAAATGCAAATCCTACTGGTCCAAGCCTTGGTGGACAAAGTTACCCGGTACCTATGTTACAGGAAGCGCGCAAGCTGGCCTGGACACCAACGGTTAATTAAAAAAAGAAGTCGACATAATTCACTACTGAAGCTGGACAACTGCACTGGCTTAAAATCATGTGTTTTGGTGTGGTTTCTTGTCTAATTTGTTTTTTGTTCTTCACATATCCTAGGACCTGCTTATATAACATAGAAGGAGACTATACAAGAAATTGACTACTAACACGTTAAAATTATCCCATTACAAGAAAAAAAGGAGATAAATGCAACTGAGCATACAAAGAGACCACAAAAGATATTGACTACCAACATATTAGTACATCTCAAAACAGAAAACAAAGCAGCGAAATGCAACTCAACACATGGTCGCGATAAAACACAATTAAACAACTCCCCAATCTATGTCAAGGGGTTCATCCTAATTTATTACATAGAGAACTTGTATACCTTCAAATCCAAAGGAAACAGTCTTTTGTACAACACAAATGGACCAAACTTAAATGTTATCTACATAGACAAACAGAGGCATAAACTGTAGCAAAAAAGAGAAAAGCTAGCAGAATTGATGCCAGATAGACCATAAATATAAACATAGAAAGCCTGTTAGAAGGTTTACCTAGTTCTTGATTGCAAGACAAGCACTGAACCATGGCTTGAAACTAAGAACGATCCCACTTCGCTCCAAAAGGATTCCTTTGAGAACAATTCCTCTGTCTGCTTGAATTCTTTATGGGATTCTAAGCCTGATTCATCCGAGAGCTTGGAACTTCTCCAAGATCTACACCAGTTCTTAATCTGGTTAAAAAGGCTTGACTCTTGGCTAGGCTTCTCCGTTGCATCCTCTGGATGCATAGGGGCTTTATCTTCTATACGGGTGTTATTATCAGGAGCAAAAGAAGGGGGACCCTCTGATTGCTCAGAATGACTTTTTAATTCTACATCTCTTTCTGCACTTTTTGACTCATTTGAGATATTATCCCTAGGAGCATACTCCTTGTTCCCAAACCACATATTCCAGAACCTTTTTAGAAAGCCCATTTCAGGTGCAGAATCATGCTCTGCAGTTTGCAATTGACCCTCACTTGCTTTAGCGACCACATTCTCAGGTGGGGGCTGCTGAACTTCTGTTGATACCTCCTGTACTTTTTGCGGTCCCGGGAATTTTCTTGGAGATGTCTTCACTTTCTGTTCAGAGGATTGAGGTGACTTCTCACCCTTGCCCTCCATACAACTGCCTGTCTCGCCATTCAAAATAGGAGTACTACTAAATTCTGCCTCTCCATTAGTTTCAGGCTCTGCACTTTTGCCTGAATTGTCACTTTGTTCAGGAACTTTAGGGTTGACGCTCCGCACAAGATATTTTCCATCGCTTCCAAACTGGACCTTTAGAATATTTGGCATGGCTAAAAGAAAACGAGAGAACTTCTTATGACCGTAAAAATCCTTGTCTATACTCAAATTGCTTTTCGTTAATTCTCCACGAAGTTCTGTAATAGAAACTCCTTTGGGGTATGAATTCAAAATATTGCGGATATGCCTCACTATTGACCTCGGAATGGGCCGACATTTAGAATCTGCAACAGCTTCGGACAATTGCTCCGAGCGAGGATTTGCGGGTTGTTCTGTAACTGCAAAAGGGTCTTCAAGAGCCGCCTTGTAGTGACCATACCAAGAACCATAAGGACCATCTGGCGGCTGATTAAAATGCTTTCCTATAAGGTTTTCCCCCTTCAATAACGCGTTCCATTGCCACATGATACTAGCTGCACTGCAAAGAACACTAGGAACACTTTCTGGACTGGCTAGCAAAATGTTGTAGTTGCTCATTCTCAGCCTGTGTAATATTCCAGCAAAATCCCTGTCACCTGAAATCAAGAAGAGGTGTGCCGGTGGAGGATTTTGAGAAACCCAATACATCAGATCAACAAGGAGGGACCTGTCAGCACTGTTCTTTCCACCTGAAATCAACATAACAAAATGATTGGTAAACAGTAGCGACCAAGGAAATGAAGGTCAAATTACACGCTACTCATAGGCCTGACAACTGACTCATTCGGATCTTTTTTAGTTTCCCTTATGAGGACAACATATGAATTTAAGAATCAAATAAAAAAAGTAGTTAAATTACAAGGGGGAAAACGATGTCAAGAAAAAAAATTATTACACAAAAACCAGCATCAGCCACATAAAACCCTCTGGCCCCATTTTTTTAAATCCCAAAATTCTGGAGTGAAACAGGTTCATGGAGTTGATAATCAAGGGTCATAATCAGCAGCGGAAAACTTATCAAAATTTTTAAAATTTGGTCAAACTCGGCAAAGATACTACTACAATTATGTCAGATGTTACAACTAAATTGTTCATACTTCAGCAAAAACAACCCATTGCAATTGAGTGAAGTATGGAACTTAAGCTCCCAATGCAGTACCATGAATTAAGGGAATCCAAAACAGGTACTTTCTTCCAGCTTAGTGAACAAAAATTGAAAAGGTTGAATTCCATGATGCAATTTTCTGGTTTTAATACACCTTCAACTGTATAACAGACAAAGAGAAATCTCATAAACATGGGATATCAGATTGAGAAGATGTATTTTCGCTTTCTCCTTTGTCCTATCCGAGCTATGCACAAATTATGTCATTCACAACAATTAAACAAAAGCCTATGGAGGAATAGGGATAACCATCTTCAGCTTTCACTAAACCTTTATAAAGAAATTCAAAAAGGAGGAGAGACAAATTTTGCTTTCCAATAAGCCACAACACCAGATATCAGAAAAAAGGGAAACACTTCAATGCCATAAAGTGTTTCAACATCGCAATTACACTGAACACATAATTTGAAACCCAGCGAAGCCATATTATCACAGACTAAATACTGACGTACATCTTAGAAAGATGAAAATGATAAGCATTTATTGATTCTTTCTCAAATAAAGCTGCATTTTTCTTCAAAAATCATGCTTCGGACAAATAAACAATCACCACTCAAGATTTTTTGTAAGAAAGCCTCCATAAAAGATCAGAAAACCTAAACGACAGACTGAAAATCTCAATCTGTAGTCTGTACTGAAAGAAGATATTACAAAGTCAAAAAATAGGAATAGACACTATCAAGGGAAAAATCAATTATCAGCTTATAGCCATGTCTGCTCAAATTCTGGCAGGGACTATAATTGATATGTAGAGAAAACATGCACCAACTGATATTTTAAATAGTATAATGGTAACATGGTCATGTGCATAGAAAATGCCAACCGCCAAGTAGCATGAAAGCAGCTCAACATTCCTCAGTTACAGTAGTAAGTTCCAGCAGTTTCCTGAGATTTCATGATGGCTTTTATTAATCTCTTTACGATTTCTCTAGGAAATGCTTCCTCGTATGTGTGCCTAAGGCCATTTCATTTTTAATTATCCATAATTATGTAGTCTAAAGGCGCAACAGACCTTACTTGACACATCCGAACTCATGGTACTTCAGCATCGGGCCACTTGGGCAAAGAAAAAGCCTTCTTTATTCAACACGGCATTTTTCTACAAGTTAATACTAACATTCTTCTATTTTTTTATTTTTTTGGGGGGTTGGGGGTGGGGGTTATGATTTGTGCTAGCAAATGGTCTTCAGACGAGAGGGGTAACAAATTTCTCGCACCATTATGCTAGCCTTAAAGAACAAAACTTCTAATTTCATTCATTGAAGTTGCACTATAATAAATGCTCAGTTAAAAGTGTTATCTACAAATTATTTTTGAAGGAATATATGAACCTTCAACATTTTCCCATTGCATCAATTCAGAAACAAGGGCATGGCTAAGAATCTATCTAAAACCACATGCTACCAAAACAATTCAAACTTAACATTTCAAGAACCAAAAAATAAACATAAAAATGAAAACTTTACCATGAGGAATATGAGCAAGATTAATCCCAGTAGAAGAAAGAGCTTCTTGATTGACCCTAGAAAGCTGCATTACATCACCAAAAGCAGTAATTTGAATGGGACCCTTTATGCCATTAGCCCTAATAGCAGCAGTAACACACTGTGCAATCTTGAAAACGTTAACACCAGCTGGAGGAGAGCAGTTCTCGAAATCCCACCACACTGATACCTTCACATTACGGCTTTCCTCTTCGTGCCGCCGAGACGGGTACGAAGATTGTACTTGGTTCTGAAAATTGGTGCTGAAATGGGCTATTCGAAAGCAGGGTTTTGTAGTAGTAACAGTGTTAGTGAAGAGAGAGATTGTAAAAAAATTGGGTCTTGGGAAAAGGGGTTTCATTTTGGAGAATTTTGGGGTTTCGGGTTAGGGTTTCGCGATGATGATGATGATCATTATTGTTCATTTCAGGTTGATGTATGCCATGGGAGAAAGTGAAAAACCTCTGCGAAAGTCGGGTTACTGAAGTGAAGGGTTTAGGAGAAATGAGCTAAAACCCTTCCTAAATCCCTACACGTGCACGTCACGTGATATAAGGAAAAAACAAAAACAAAAATTGGTCATCTGTTATGAAACAATAAAACAAGAAGAGCATTGCACGTAAAGTAGAGAGAATTCTTATTGATATGGAATCAATTACGATAGAATAGAACGTCTCTATTTATAGTGGAAAGTGACTTAGCTATCAAGTAACAAACCTTAAAATCTCTCTAAATATATACATTCACCATAAATATAATTCTATTTATAACACACCCATAATGTACCTCGTTAAAACCTTAACTAAAATAAAATCCAGAAAGAAAAAATTCTAGAGAAGAAAAAAAAGTACACATGTTTAGAAATACGCCTTTTGGTTGCCTCGTTAAAAATCTTGCAAGAAAAACCTAGTGGGACAAAACCTTGTAAGGGAAAAAAGAGTGCGACGCACATTTACTCCCTCTGATAAGAGCATCAATTCACATCCTTGAGCTTTCGCATCCCAATCTTGTGCACCATCTTCAAAAGATTGTTGGTATAGATTCGGTAAACAAATCGGCCATATTAACTTGAATGAATATGTTGAACCTTGAAATCATCATTCTTGATAGATATGTAATGTCTTGATATAATGTCGTGGAATAGCCTTTTCAATTTCTCCATAGAGGTATTTTCACTATCACATTATCATGCTTATAGTTATAGCAAGATACATATGTGCACAAATTGCACTGAGGATGTGGTACTTCAAGATCAAGAATTGTATATGCTTCAAGCAATTTAAATCCTTCAGGGATTATCTTATATGTATAGTCAAATAAGCCATATAAATAGACTTTAGATTTTCATCAAGTTTTCATGTCATGCTAGACAAATAAGATATCGAAAATCGATTGCACATATCATTGACTTTATACTTTCAAGTGTTTGAACTACATGTCCAAAACTACATGTCGTTCATATGAAACCAATTCTACTTGAATTATTTCTTCGGACTTAAGATCCTCATATATATTTAGCGCTATCATAGATGTCATCGACAAATATTTTATATCGGTTCCCACCTCCTTATTTTTCTTAAAGGCATAACATAGAGATCTCTTCATTCATATATTCAGGTACCTGAATCTCTCATGAGATTTTATGAAGTGTTATGTCATGTGATCTTCTCGATCACTTGCCTCCTTTATTATGATCATTTTGATCATCTTCTTTATCAAGAAGTTTATTTGAAATCGATTTGTCTATATGCTTTAAGCGTACCATAGACTTTGTCCTTCTAGAACTTAATAAGAGCATTTGCAATGAGAATATAGTTACTTTCTTTGGGTCAGCAAATGCGTCTGGCATGCTTTGCAATATATTGCAAATGAATTATCCTTTTATGAACTTCAAGTTCATATTATTTTATTCGAGGATCTAGATGTACACATGATAATTCATTTTTCGTAACTTTTTCTCAACTGTTTATCATGTCTCCCCCTCATGTTAGAAAACTAACTTGTTTCCTCAACTTTGAGAACCCATCTTTGTGCGTTGTGTTGTTAATAAAAATATACACCGCGCATCAATAATAATAAGATGAAATTATTTGGTTCCTGACCCTGAACCACTTGTGAGGGGAGAAAATAATATACTTTCGTATATAACGCATATCAAATTGATATACATAACTTTGTTATCATAAGAAATAGTTTAGCTATTAAGTGGAGGCACTCAATAAATCAGTTTGCTAAATCAACTGTGATGTAAACCAACTTATCAAGATGAATTGTCTTGAATAGAAAATCTGAAAATTATGCTCTAAATTTAATTATTGAGCAAGTTACCTCGCAAATATCAGGTCGCGGATTAATAATAATCGCACTTTTAACCGTCTCATAGATGCATCTTATGTGGTATACATGGCAGGTGAATGGGCCCGTATTCACTTTTGATATTTCCAGCATTCATGGGAATCAATCCCATTTTTAGTCGGTCTATTAATTAATAAGAACAAGCAATGTAAGAGAATTCGTAAAGAACTTTCTAGTTCTTTAATGTTTACCCATGTGATTTCTTTTTTATTTTTTCACATCATACTTAAATTATCATGGCTAAACCAATTACGCCAACTGAATAAATTATCAATATTGATAAAATTTATGTTTACACCATGACGTGTGCAATTATCGATAAACTCCAAGTTTATTATGATATGGGTTTTTATATTAATAAACATCCACTTTATTGTGGCATTCTTTTATTTATGTAGTACAAAATGGAGAATAAAGCGGGTAGTTTTTTACATAAATATTACCCTGCTACAAGTTGTAGTAATATAAGATATTAAATCTTTCTTTTATTTATAGTCTCAATATAATCAACCGCTTTCGCGTATACTTTGGAAACTGAATAAGTTTCTTTGAGACTTACTACAACACAATACCTTATTGGTAATCAATTGTGTTTCTCCAAAATAGTATAATTGGCTCTTGCAGAGTTCTCAATTAATTTTGTAGTACCACATATTCATCAATATCCATATGGTGAATATCTCTTTTAAAGAGAAAGTTATACTATTATGGTTATGGTCAAAATTATATGCAAGATCTGTTTTTTGCATTACCCTTGTCTTTTAATAATCACAATGCCAAAATATTCTGGCGTACAATAAGTATGTGACCGATGACCATTTCTGCCATAATAATGACATTATTTTCGTATTTCCTCTAAAACCTCCTTCTAGAGGTAAGTGTGGTATATACCACTAGCACGCTCATATTTTTAGAAAATGAATATGTATTCATAAATCACATATTGTCACATCACATCATGAATGAGTCATAATTATTTATATGTGTTTTACAAAATCTCATGTCAAATCGATGACAGATATTATTTGAGAATCCTTATTATTCTCATTACCACAAGGATGACGATTACAATTTCGTCTATTACCACGTCCACATCCATTGATACCTTCACGGTAATAATTTTTTCTTCTTTCAGACTTATTACATATTGCTACCACATTCTCTTAAGGGAATGAGATTGAAGCAAATTCAATGCGGCGGGTTTTCAATTCTTTGCCCATAATCATACATGAATTTGATCATGGCAAGGCATAAAAATTTTACCACTTTAGGTGGTTATAAATTCTTTCAAACTCCATTAGAGTTACAATCAAAATTTATCGTCTTTGCTTGTATTTAAAATCAAATTATAGAATGTCAAGAATTTAAAAGAGAAAAATAAAGTAAAATACTTACCTTAAATCTAGAATTTAATCACGAAGGAAGTTCATGGAACAATTGACATCATTATGCTCAATCCCAAAGCTTTTACTCAATTGGTTAGAGTCTCGTGTTGATAACGTGTTATGAAACAATAAAAGAAGAAGAAGAGCATTGCAGAGAAAATACAGAGAGAGAATTCTTATTGATATGAGATCAATTACAATGGAATAGAACCCCTCTATTTATGGAAAGTGACTCAGCCACTAAGTAACAAACCCTAAAATCTCTCTAAATATAGACATTCACCATAAATACAAGTCTATTTATAACACAATCATATTTTTTCCATAAAAATAAAAATATAAGTAAAGAAAGAGAAAATTATTTTGTTTAAATGTTACATGAAGAGGAATAATGGGAACGAAAATACCAAGTTATAATCCTTCATTGTAAGTAGTGGTGGTAAAATAGTTAAAAGAAAACAGTTATCCACTCATATTATCTATTAAAAATGGGTTGGATAATGAACTTTTTAAAAACGAATCAAATATGGATAAGAACCATATTATCCACTTAGAAAATGGATAACCATGGGTTTAACTTTTACATGTAAAACCTCAGATTGGGGGTTACTTAAAGTTGGGAGACCCGGAATTCTTCCAAAATGATCATATTCAGCTTGCCATGGATAATTTAACCCATTTTTTTTTATCCTTATTAAATATGGATCGGGTCGGTTAATGTTAAGATATAATTGTTAGGATTCAAATAAAGGGCAGCTTGGTGCATTAAGCTCCCGCTATGCGCGGGGTCCAGGGAGGGGCCGGACCACATGAGTTTATTGTACGCAGCTTTACCCTGCATTTCTGCAAAAGGTTGTTTCCATGACTCGAACTTGTAATCTCCTGATTACATGATAATAACTTTACCAGTTACGCCAAGACTCTCTTCGTTGTTAGGATTCAAATAAATTGAGAAAATCACAAATCATCTAAATGGAGGAGTGAAAGCTAGGATGACTTAGATGTTTAACCAAAAAGTAGAATTTCGATCAAAGCTTTATTTTAGAAGAACTCGGGTTACTGATAATCAAAAAAAAAAGTGAATAAAGGAAATTGATTTTGCTAATAATAAGATGAACAGAAGAGAGCAAAATAAATCAGTATATTTCGATGATATTTCATGTCGTTACAAATAGTCAGGTTGCCCCTTTTATAGCTATTTCTAGTTGATATGTTTTGCCTTTGTCATAATAAGGCCATTATAGACATTTAAAAGTTTTTAATGCTACGTTACAATCATTGTAATTCAATACAGATTCTCTAACGTTCTTAGTATTTAATGCCTATTAAATACTATATCCGTTCCTGCTTTTGCTGTCAGATTCCTTCTCTTAGCTTGACCTTTGAACATAAAGAGGTGCGGGTACCGAGTCTCTTGGACCTCTGCTCGTGCCTGTTGTATCCCGTGCCTCTTTAACTATTCTTTTTTGATCGTCATCCTTTCACCAGTCTACGTGTCATGACACGTCATCTTTCATTAAATTCAATATATATGAACTTAATTTTTACCAATACAGATAGTCCCCCCTCTTGCCATGTATTCATCAATAGAATATTTGGAAAGTGAATTTTATTAAAGCGGGAATATGTGCCGCCATCAGTTTTTCTCTGGAACTGTCGCTTCATTTGTCACTTCTATTTAATGCCCACTACACGTGGCACCTTTTGATTGATTCTGCGACTTTTTAGCGTTTTTCAA